AATACCAGGCAGAAGACCACAAGCCACACCTGGGAACCACTGTACAGCCTCCAGTTTCTTTTTAGCCCTCCTGTTGAACCAGATAAAGAACAGATAAACTGTTTTGTCTCTGTAATTAAAAGGTCTGAGAGTCCCTCCCTGTGAGTCTTGTGTAACTAGTTTTGCTGTTCTCTTGCATTGCACAGCTCACCTGTGTTTACTGTCAGAAATAAGTTATGTCTTGAGACTCGGGGACTCCTCTTCCTACGAGACGCTAATTCTACTTGTGTCTTCCAGCAAATAGGACAGGAACATACGCCCTTATCTGCCTGGCCCTGGATATCAAAATCATTTATTAATGCTTCTCATTGTCTTACTGTTTGGACCACGCATACTTAATCTTTTAGTCAAATTTGTCTCTTCTCTGCTTGTTTGGCAGCTGTTGAACTACCAATGTTGGCCTGAGCCGTGGACCCAGATTCACCCCCACGTGTATGGCCCAACAAGAAACCCACGGAGGAGGAGTGTGGTTTCCTAATCCCTTAGATCAGACAGGGCCTGGGTTCCTTGGTCTCTGTAGGAGGGCCAATGTCCCTATTCAGCAGGAGTAGCTACAGAAGATGGACACACTACCCTCTGCAAACTTTAAAGATTTCCCAAGAGCAGGTCTCTCTGGGGGAAATTGTGCAAACACAGCTGAGGTGATGGGACTGCTCCTCCTCCTCTCGCCTGATCTTGGACGTCACCGCCGTGATTCAGCACCCTGTCAGTCACGCTCTGAAAGATCCAGTGGGAAGCTAGGAACATGCAGTGCCTGGGCCATTTTCTTCCTTTCCACTCCTCCCCTTCTACCTTTCCATTCATGCTGTTTTCCTTTCTGCTGGCACCCACCCACTCACTCTGAGCCTAGCCTCGCCCTTTAAACTTTATTAAACTTTCTGCTTTTTCCATACCATTATATGCAACATCCAATGTTTTGTTTGTTGCACGTAAGAACCTGGAAACCTTTCTGTTGTCCCCATACTTTTCCAGGACAACCTTTTTTGGTGAGCCAGCCAGGAGGTAACGAGAGTCATGTAGACCGTGGAGACCTTGACTCTGATGAACACAGCCGAAAGGCTGTCCACTCTCTGTGGCCACTCGCACTCTGAAAAACAACTCCTTTCCTGCCTTTAGTAAGTAAAGAACCTGCCACCTTGTGTGTCTGTCCTGCCCAATTCTTTGTTCAGGAAAACCAGAACCCAGAAATAATTATTGTGTCTGATGGGGGGGGGGCTCTTGGAAGAGGGGATAGGGGTCCCCTGTGTGTAGGAGCAGGGAAAGGGGACATTTACTAAAGCCACTGCATCTGGTCCTGGCTCCTTTGGGACATGACAGCACCAGCCTGGAGGGATTGAATCATGAGACTTAGAGAAGAAACTGAACACTGGGCCTGACCAGTGCTGTTCCAGGCGGCAAGACCAAAGCCCCCAAACCTGATATCTGTTCTTCAGTACATCAGAGACGCAAATGTAACGAATGATTCAGGACAGAGAGTTCAGCACATCCTGAGACACAAATGCAACGTGAGGTGGGCGAGGAGGGGTCTCGGGGTTGTGGGGGAGCAGAAATCCTAGAACAACGAGGAATGAGGAACATGAGGAACATGAAGAGTTTGTTCTCCCAGGATGTCTTCAGCCGATGCGATCTTGTCCTGGATCACCCCAGCGTCACCGGACCATTGAGGTCCTAGCTGTGACCGGAGGCCAAAATGGAGCCGTGTCTCGAAATGCATAGCTGGCCTGCAGGCTGGTAATGATCTTCCACGTCTCTCTGGGTCTTTGTTCTCACTCCAACTAAGAACGGAGTGCGGCTCTTAGCGGAAAAATGGGGGAGTCAAGACTGAGGCGGTGCAAAGCAAGAGTTTGTTGGAAGGGTGGCAAATGCAGAGAAAGCGGAAGAAAAGCGATCTTAACAGCAGAGGGCGCTGCGAGAGAGGGCGCCTCCCACTTGCAACACCTCAGGAGTTTGGGGTGTGCTTCATACTTAGAGGGGGTGAGCGGGCTTCGAAAAATAACCGCTCCACTGACTGGTGCAGTCAAGGCCAACCAGGGTCTTCTCCTGTGTTTCCGAGAAGGGGACAAGGTCCGTCGGGAATTTCTTAAGCGCGCAGCAAATGTGAGCAGCCTTTGCAGAAGGGTACGGTCGGGTTCATCTTTCAGGACGTGGTAAGCGATAAGCGTGCGGTGACTTTGCGGTCATCAGCACAGACGCGCTTGGGATGATGTCAGTGTCAGCCATCCGGGTGCGGCCCCGGGTCTTCCTGTGCGTCCTTCTAATCCGGCCCTGCAAAATCCGCCGGAGGAGCCCACAGCACCTCAGAACCCTGGCGACACTGCTACTAACTAGTGCTTCTCTCGATTAAGCCGCCGAAGTCGTGTCGGCCCTCATGTTTAAACATTCAGCGCCTGACTTTAAAGCAATCACTAACAGCCCTTAGTGCAGAAAGAAACAACCAGGGAAAACACGACCGGGCTACCGAAGGGCGATTCTGCTGACATGACTGGGCTTGTCCTGATGGGCTCAGTGACGTCCACGCTGTTGGGATGAGTGGTGCCGATGTTGAGAAAAACAATATGTGCACTGAAAATTCAACAGTTTTAAAAGGTTTTACCTAAAAATGTTGATATTTCTGATGTTTCCCCCCCCCCAAAGAAATGTATGGATTTTCCCAACTTCAGTGACCTGTGGTCCTTGGACTTGGGAATCAAGTCACATTGACTCATTCTGTAAGGTTGCTTTGATCCAGTTTTATGCCTAGACCCAAGCTTGACTTTGCTTCCTGAGAAACAGCAATGCTGTTGTTTTCACCTTCAATGCTGCGACCACAGCTGCCAGTACTTCTCAGCAGAGGCTCTGCGTGGCCTTACTATGTTCACTGTCCGCTCAGCCAGCCCTGAGCTCAATTCTTCCTCGTATTTCAGTGACACTGTCCCTAAAACTCTACCGGGAGGGACCCAGTATTGTTGCCATTATGTACAAATATCACATCTCTGATTCCAGTTGGATCTGCACATTTAACTCCATCAGCTAAAAACATTGCACATTATAAACACGGTGATATTTAACCTTTATTTATTCGGAAATATCTTCATGCCATGATCACATTTGCTATACCTGAATTCGAATTTATGCACATGAAAAAGTTACTAGCAAGGGTTGCTCACGTTACAGAAGGGGTTAGGGGCCACATTTTATTATCTGAGAGATGTTTTCAAAGTAAAGTTAAAGCTTATATTTGATTATGTTGATATATTCTATTTTCATCCACATTTAAAATGAAGGGTAGCAAAGCTAATAGCTAGGGCTCCTTCTAATTTAAAATACCTTTAAAAAAAAAAACTCAAATTGGGTTTAGTGGTCCACTGCAGTATCTCCTTTATGGGAGGCTGAGGCAGGGTGGTTGCTAACTGGAGCACAGCTGGGGCAACTTAGCGAGACCCCGTCTCAAGATTTAAAGTGAGAGACTGGGAATGTAGCCCAGAGTAAAAGCATTGGGTTCAACCTGCAGGAGCTGAGAAGAGAAGGATGCATTTAAGAGTCTTAAGGAAATTGTCTGTTGTGAAGCATTTTTTTAAAAAAACTGCTGCAAAATTAACTTAATGAAAGGGGACTTCAAACTGCCAGTTAGGACTTACACTGTTTCCTGTTGGGCTGCAGATGCTGTTTCCAGGCCTCTTTGCAGCCCATACGAAGGATGAAGTTCAGGGCCTATAACCCTGGCACCCTGAGAGGTTGAACCAGGGCATCTCAAGTTCGAGCCCAGTCTGGGCAACTTAGGGAGACCCTGTCTCCACATCAAAAAGGGCTGGGGCTGTAGCTCAAGGCAAAGGCCTGGGTTCATCCCCAGGACCACAATATAATAATAATAAATTCAGCCCATATGTGGCGCTGCAGCTGCTTTTCGTCTTTTAAAACTTTATTCTACACTTTCAATAAATGCTCCCGCCAGGAACAGTACGCGCCTGTGATCCGAGCAGGCTGGGATGCTGAGGCTGGAGGGTGGCAAATTCAAGCCCAGCCCAAGGGATGGAAATAAGACCTGTCTCAAAATTTTAAAGGGGAGAAGAGGATGGGAAGGTTGCAGTTTAGTGCAGAGGGGGTTTAATCCCAGCACCTGTGAAACGTTTTCATGGAAGCAGGAGAGATCAGCTTTGGAGCGCCTAAGCCTACTTGCGACACAAACACTTCTTTCCTTCATCCTCATGGAAGTGATTTTCAAGTGGATTGTGCATTCTCATACATTTTGCATGGCGAGCTGTGCCAGCAGCTGCCCACAGAGTGGTTGTATTACTTCAGAAACCGGATGAGTGCAGAGAAAATCACAAACTGGCTTTGGAAAGCAAGGCTAGTTCTAAATCCAAGTCAGAATTAAACGTAAGCGTGCATGTCTCAAACTAAACAATAAAAATAAAATGGCAGAGGATGTCACTCAATGGGAAGGCCTTGAGTTCCAACCCCAGCCCCACCAAATGAAAAGAAAAGAAAAAGTCTCGTTCAGCACAACTCCTAGTGTGACTGTTCTGAGCCCACTGAGAGATGCATGCCTGTAATATCTCTGTCGAGTGGAAATCAACAGAGAGATGTGAGGCACAGAGTGGAATAAGTTTGTTATACTTTGTCTTATGTTTATTCGTAGAAAGAAAAAAATGTCTGGCAAGTGGGTTATCTCATAGTACAAAATGACTTATGCGCATCAAAATACTGGCAGAGATTAAAGAAGTTCACAAGGTAAATTGAGTTGAGAAAAGGATGTGGATATTGGCAACCTAATTACTGATTTCAAGACAATCTTTTGCCTTCAATCGTTGATGGTATTTAATCCCTCACCGAGTTATTGAAATCTGGGCTCTCTGTAAAGCTCTCTGTAGATCAGTCGGAGTGCAGACAGGACCTTGTGTGTCCTAATCTATTTTTCCATTCCTGGGTGGAGAACCGAGATTCCAGAAGGAAAACAAGAGCCAATACATTGATGCTGATGATTTTATTGACGTTTTGAAGGTGGAGAAAGGAAAGGGAAAGAAGTATACGCTGTTGAAAAGTCCACGATCACCCGTTGATCTCCATCGATTTCTGAAACAAGGGGAAGGATTTTAGGAGACAGCAACACATAACCTCTGCCAGATAGCTTATCGTTAAGTAATTTCATTTCAGGAGATCACAGTAAGAAACAGAAGAGAAAGAAGGAGGGGAAAGAGGAGAAAGGACTGGGGAAGGAGGAGAAGAGAGGAAGGAGACGGGGGAGGGAGCGCCTGGGAAGGCTGTGGGCTGAAAGGGTCAGGAAACCTGACGGGACAGAAGGGACACTTGGCCCGGTGAACACGGAGATGTTTCTATGTATAGGGGTGAGGTGGGGTGAATCACGGCAAGGACAGATCTGGGAGAGATTTCAGGAGAGATTAAGGCAAAACTTTACAAATGAGATTAAGTGAATAGAAATAAGAAAAAAGAATGGGGAATTTAAAGAGAAATTCACTACACTATTGAATCAAAGACATGCAGTACCTGGGGCATCACTGGGGCCATCTCCAAAGGGGTTTCCACGTCACTGGGCAGAAGGAAAGCTCTGGCTCTGGCCTCTCTGGCCACCTCTCCCACTCTGGCCACCTCTAACACCTTTACCACCTCGACCACCTCGACCACCCTGGCGACCTTGGCCTCCCTGATGCTTTCCTGGTAAATGATCTTGGTCTTCCTGGGCAGTTGGGCCACCGCGGCCTTTCTTCCCTCCTTTGCCCTTCTTGCCAAGCCGACCTTTGGGTTGCTTTGGGGGCACGACTTGTGATTCTGCTGGTGCTTCTCCATCCAATTCTCCATCTGTTTGAGAGCCAGAACACAGATTGGGAAAATAAGAAGAGAAAGAATGGCCCTATGCTTAATGAAGGCAAGTCTGGAAACCACCGTGGGCTAAATTGAGCGAAAAGAGACATTTTACTGGTTTAAATGGCTTTAGGTAGTGACCAGGGCCCAGTGTCCAGACAGAGGATGAAGAGAGTGTGTGTTTAGTCAGTCGCTTTGGTCCTTCGTAGCTTACCCTGCCCTCTTTTGTACATCTGTCACTACTCTGCTTTGCCGTCTGTTCTGAACTCATTGCGATGTACATGAAATTTCCCATAAACCACCAGATTCTCACAGTGTCTGGGAGAAACCACCGGATAATCACACTGTCTGCCTATAGAGAGACACAGTATCTCTACAGAAGTCCAGTAATCAAGAGGACGGTCACTAGACACCTTATCCTTCCTAATAACAGACAAAGTGGGCGATACCCTACTGTCTCCTATCACCTACAAATGCTTAGCTTTGCATTTCAGTTTAAAAAAATGTAAGTGGCCCCATTCATGGTGGCACACATCTGTAATCCCAGCACTCTGGAGGCTGAGGCAGGAGGAGCCCAGCCTGAGCAACTCAATACCTTGGCAAGATATTGTCTCAAAATAAAAAGTAAAAAACAGTTGGGCTGTAGCTCCATGAGAGGGCCTTGGGTTCACACAGGCCAAAAAAAAAAAAAAAAAAAAAAAAAAACAAAAAACCCAGTATAAATAAAATGCACCTATATTGTCTTCTTTTGTAATGTCTGACTCATGTAATTAAATAGACCTGCTATCATCTCTTTATGATCTCCTGGCTGCCACTCTTGCTTACAATCATTCCTTGGCAAATGGAACATATTTCATGGCATCCTCTGGGCACGTAAGACACTGACATTCAAAGCCCGAGAGATCTCTGAGCCCTCGAGCCACTCACTGTCATTGTCATCAGATCAACAATGAAATTGCTGGGTTTCTCCCCTTATGGAAATGTCTTTGTTGCTGGCAGAACAAATAGAATCAATTTTCCATGCAGACACCTTTTTCTCCCTACAAATGACGCACATGTTTAACTTCATCCTTAAGGTTTACTGAAACACTTGAGTTCCAAGACTGCCAAAGACACGCAGAGGTCAGCACAGATTTAGCCCCCAAGGCTTTCTGCTTTCTCCCACCGCTCCGCCCCCAGGCCTGTGGGGCCTCCCTTCCCACCCCTGCCCTGAGCGTCCCCAGCGCCTTCTCCTGCCCCTTTTCTGGCAGTGACTATGGCTATGTCTGGGGAACATCTTCCCTTGGACTCTGAGCCCAGCGGGGAGAGCACTGACCATGTTTCCTGTACCCATGCAGCGTCCCCAGGGCTGCCAGCAAGGCATTAGGTTTCATTGGATTAGTAGCCAGGGAAAGAATGCATATAATCAAAGCGCTTTTTTCAGTAAGACTTAGATAGGCATGCTGTCACAGTAGCAGCTGAGGTCAAGCTGCTAGATCTTAAGCAATCTTAAGCAAGAAAAAAAAAACCCACCAGCTGGGCATGATGGTACACCCCTGTAATCCCAGGACTTGGGAGGCTGAGGCAGGAGGATCCCCATGAGTTTGAAGCCAGTCTGGGCTACACAGTGAGTTCAAGGCCAGCCTGAACTACATAGCAAGACTGTCTCAACTCTCCAAAAAAAAAAAAAAAAAATCAAAAGTAGTAGAAAACCTGTGTTGAACCTCAGAAAGCCCTTAAATCCAAAGCAAATCTCCCTCCTGCTTTCCCTTTCTCTCTCTTTTTATCTCTCTCACTGTCTCACACACTTCACCCTTAGTCTTTTTTATCTCTTTACAATGTGGAACCCAAAATTATAAAAACCATATAGTAAAATTATTTAGAAAGGGAGTTTTAACATGTAAATTTTCTGGTTAAAAAAAAAAGGAATTTTAGGAGCTGGGTCTGGGAGGCATGCTTGTAAACCCAACATTTGGGAGGCTGAGGCAGGAGGATCATGATTTTGAAGCCAATCTGGGCTACCTCATGCATTCAAGGACAGGCTGGACTACAGTAAGACCCTGATTCAACAAACAAACAAAAAGTAGATGTTTTAGACCAGACCAATAGCAGTAAGGTTCCTAGATTCCACTCAGAAAAACTCTTGGTAATTCCGTTGAACTCACATGATAGCTGGGACTCTTCCACTTGAGGGGACCCTACAGAGAAAGAAGAGAAACCAGAATCACATTATGAACTGAATATCAGAGTCACTGACAAGCCAGGAACTAGAAAATACTTTAAGCATAGACTTTTTATTTAGGCAACAAAATTTAAGTAGTTAATTCATTTTTACTCAATTCTGCCATTGCTTTGCGGAATTAAATAACCAATTGATTCTCCCCTTGGTCCTCTCTAAATCCTCCCTCCCACACTGTCTTTCATGTGTGGCATTCAAAATTTTTATTTGAAATGTGCATGACTGAGTTCATGTACTCTGAAAAAAATTAGCACCAAAGTAGATGTCTGGGTTTTTAAACTAAAAAAATGAAATATTAACACTGTCAATGTAGAATAGAAGAAGAAATAAAGTACACTGGCAAATTCAATGACTGAATATAATATCTTGGTAAATTACAGAACGTTCCTGCTTCGAATTAGTCACATGTCAATGGAGACAAAATCCCTGCAAACATAAGGGGTGTGTTTTTCAACTACTGTATTCGCCATTGTCCACAGGAAGAGTTAGAGCAAAGCAAATGGACGGGGACCCATGTTCTGCTGATGTCCAAACTCTACTTAGATCTCAGACACAAGGGATTTCAGGGTGCTAAGGAAGATTCAATGTAACAGTTCATATTGAACATTACTGCTGAAGATTAATAAAACCTATGTTTTGTCGTTTGTTCACTTGCCCTTGGAAATCCCTTAAACCCAATTATGAGAACTTTTAAATGAAAGAAAGAAAGAAACATATTCTTATGTAAGGATTTACCTAGCACTTGAAGAGCTTCTTCAGAAACACCTAGGGTTTTAGAAGAGAAACAAGACACACTTAAAACATGATTTATTAGTCCTTGGGTAGACATTTGTAGATACGTGGGATAAGAAAATACCTAGGAGAACACTAGAGGAAAATGCATAAAAGGTTTGGGTTGAATATATTAACATTTCCAAAGTAGAACTCGAATCCCAAGCATTGATTTTGGATGAGTGGTGAATAGGAAGGTAAATATTTTTCGAATTTGCTTTTTATACAATGAAACGGAGAGCCACAGTGGTTGTGGAAAAAATAAAGATGTTGTAATACATGGAAAGAGTACATTAGACAAGGGAAACCATGTGTACCCACATAGCTCACATTTCTACCCAAAAAACTCTTCAGCTATTCCAAAATGACTATTGTTTATTTCTTGAACTTCTCTAAAAACACGTTTCAACAAACACGCTTCTAGCCGGCTCTCTAAGCCCATTTATCGTCCATTCCTCAAAACTTTCTTTAGACCTGTGTCTCGTTATCACTCAAAGCATGAATTTTACCCATTCCTAACAAAGTCCTCATGAAATCTGACCCCAAAACTTCATTCTTAACTATCCCAACTTTGCTTCCCGCTCTGACCTCCAACCTCAGGCACTGAAGCAAAGAATCAGAGTCAACTCACCGTGGCTCATAGACCATCTTAACGGCTAGAATGTGACACTGAAAGATTTTATCACAAAAGTGTCCTTTTTGTGTAAGTCTGACCAGCACTCCTTTTAGGAAATCTTCCGTTCCTTTCCCATGAGCAACACGTGTGTCTTATTCTATGACAACAGGTTCAGAACTCAGTCTGTTATAATTTCATGCATTGTTTTATACTGTTAGCAGTAAATGAGCTAATACTTAATGTTCCCATCTTAACTTAGCTTGTTTCCATACAATACCAGAATATTTTGTAAGGAAATGAAGTCTTCTGTGTGTCATGGTACACGTCTGTGATCCTAGCACTCTGGGAGGCTGAAGTAGGAGAATCACAGGTCTGAATCCAACCTGCATAACTGTGCAGTTTAGTGAGATCCTGTTTCTGACTTTACAAAGTTTTTTAGAGGGCTGGGAATATAGCTCAATGTGGCCTGGTTTTGATTCTTAGCACTGAGGCCAGGCAGGAGAGTAAATTTTCATTTCATGTCATTCTAATTTCCCATTGTTTATCTTACAAGATATTTGATATTTGGATTTTACAGTCATTTAGACAATGACCGGGATTTTTATTCTGAATCTCTATATTTGGTACCATTAAAATCTGCCATATATCTTCCCTATTTAAAAGAGCCACAGATTGAGAATTTGCCTTCTATGTTTATTATATATAAATTCCTTCCTTGTACCTGATCGTATTTGTTTCCAGGAATCCCCAGGCTTACTGCAAATGCTTACTGACAATCAGTTGCATGGCCGGATTTGTAAGTACTGAAAAGAGCTAAGTAACAAAATGGAAAGAATTACATAGCACCTGCCTACCACGAATGATTTCATAAAGTAAATTTAAGATTAAGCAAAACTAAAAAGCAACAACAACAACAACAACAAAAATCCAGGGATTTAGCTCAGTGGTTCCGCCGCCTGCTCGTCAGTGCAAGGTTCCCTGTTCTATCTACGGCACACACACAAAACGACAACAACGACAACAACAAACACCCAAACAAACAAACAAACAGGTTAATCAAACCTCAGCATTTCTAAATGTTCAGGTGTTTGACGTCAGTGAAATAAGATATGTAGATGAATTACAGAAGTTTCTCTCAATTTAGAGGCCTCGCTGTACCCAGAGCGAATTTCTGAAAACCCGTATTACATAGACTTATTAGTACAGCATAGTGAAACTTGTCCCTACCACGAAGCCACTGGCTCAGCGCCGAGACCATCATTGAAGGCATTGGCAATGCTTGAAAACAACGCAGGAGCTAACATTATCACCCCTCTTCCTGAACGTCTTTCTGGACATGGAGCACTTCATTTCTGAAAAGAATCGAGCCCACTCCCCGCGTCCACGAGTCTTATCTCCCACCACTTAGACCCCATTTCCCTGCTTACCCTCCTCTAGGTTGTGAGCAGAGCTCAGGCCCAGCAGGGCCACAGCCAGCAGGCCCAGCAGCATCCTCACGGCAGCCATGCGCCCCTCCCTGTCCCCGGACATGGGAGAGGCTCCGCGCGCGTCATTTATGTGACCCGCAGAACAATGTCGCCTTTGACGCCTATGGAATGGATGCTTCTCACGCGTGTCTAATTTTCCACTGGGGGCCAAACTCCTGAGCTGCACGAAGAGGCTGGCCAGGTTCGTCAAGGAGAAGCGGGAATCTGCTCCAGTGCCTTAAACGATTGCTTATTCTCCTCAACTCTTAGTTCTCACTGTAAACACACATAATTGTCTCCCATGTTTTCATTTTCCACTCAGAACTGTGGTTCTCTGTTCTGTTTCCAGCACCCAAGATTGTTCCCATTTCCTTCAGGCCCCTTCTCGTGGAATGAGCCAACAGAATCATCACGAAATGAAAGGCTAATAACCCACAGATCAAAACACAACACAGCGCGGGAGAGAGGGTGGGACGTTTTATCTTACAGGGCTTGGAAAAGCATCCAAGGTGCCAGTGAGAGATCCGATCCCGCTTGAGAGTTCTGAAGATCGGGGCCGATTTACAAAAGGAGGAAATTTGCTTGTTAGCATAAAATAGTTCCTTAGGATTAATTGTCTTATGTCGCTTTGATTCACTTTTAAACTGTGCTACATACATTCTAACTATTTTTGAATAATATATAAATTTTCTTAGGTTTACTAAAACTTGAAGTCATGCATTGAGTTCCCCAGGGAAATTAATTTCAGCCACTGGACACACTCAGCGACCAGAGGGTCTAAGACCAGCGTGTAAAACTCAGTCCTTGAAGTAAACAGCCTGGATCCAACTGTCTCTTTAAAATGTAGTCAGTGGAAGGAGGCCTTCTCGCTTCCCTGTAGGAAAAGACAAGGGGTTGCATGACTTTCTCTTCACTCCAGTGATAAAACTCTAATAACCATTTTGACACAGAACATAGTCTCAATTGTATACATTCAAACTAATTAAAATCTCAACCCTAAGTCATGAGTAGGACTTATTTTTGAGAGTTGTTTATTTTCTCTGCCAGCTAAGTTCCCATCCCCCCTTCCCTTCCCTTTTCTTCTTTGTTTTTCTGTTTGGTTGGTTGGTTGGGTTTGTTTGTTTGTTTTGGTACTGGGGATCGAACTGGACTCAGGTCCTTGCGCTTGCGAGGCAGGCCACTGAACGCGGAGCTAAATCCCTGGCCCGGTTGGTTGGTTTTTTGAGGCAGGATCTCTCTGTGTAGTCCAGGCTGGTCTTGAACTCACTATGTAGCCCAGGCTGGCCTCCAACTCACTACGATCCTCCTGCCTCAGCCTCCCGAGTGCTGGGATTATAGGGGTACATCACCACGCCCAACTCTCTTCTCCATTCTCCTTGTGGCTTTTTTTCTTTCCTACTTAGTTGAATCTTCATTTTGTCAGTTACTAAGGGGTTGGTCAGTGTATTTTTTACCATTTTCCTTGCGGAGACCCGGTGTTGATTAGCATTACAATGTCTCTGACTAAAAATATTTTTCAAATTATTTTGCCACTGGGGACGACCAAGATAGCTGATGGACATGACAAGGGGTTATTTGAAGTGTACTGGGTAGTGTTTCTGAGAAAGACTTTCCTTAGAGTGGGGAGAAGAAGAGCAGATAGGTATGGTATAATATTCAATGTTGACCTTTTTATTTCATTACATTACTGCCTGAAATGAAGACACCATGCTTTACATCTTAAGAGCCATCTTGCAATATGGGGCCACAATGGGAGCATAAATATCTTATCTGTTTAGTGTGGTAGAAATGAATATAGAAAGGTTTCTAGTCCCCGAGAGAACAGAACTAAACCACTTTACTGCCTGGCCTGGCAACACTTTATTGTTTGAACAAAAGTAATGAGTTAAAGCCGGGCGTGGTTGCTCACGTCTGTAATCCCAGCACTCAGGAGACCGAGGCAGGAGGATCGCTGTGAGTTCGAGACCAGCCTGGGCTACACAGTGCGTTTCAGAGCAGTCTCAACTACATAGTGAGACCCTGTCTCAAAAAAAATTTAAAAAAAAAAGTAATGCGTTAAATTGTTAGGAATTAGCAACGCGCCGAATGAATGCATTCCTCGCGGACCCATCACACATCGAACTTTGACCTCGTCAGTGTTGGGCACTTGCATCGTTTCCTTAACCCCTCTTACGGGAGTCACTTCTGCAGCCACCTGATTGTAGGGCACAATGCCAACCTTGTGCCAAGGGCTTAGCTGGCCAGATGTCAAGAACATGACTTGGGCTGGGGGTGTAGCTCAGTGGCGCCTCACCTGCCTCACAATTGCAAGTTCGATCCCCATACAAAAAAAAAAAGCAAACACCAAGACTTGGAGACATGGTTTCTTCTTCATAGGCTGAGTCACCAGAGAGAGACCTTTCCCGCTTGGATAAACACGAGGGAATGATTCATCATTTGCTATGGAAAGAATGTAGCAGCCCCTCACTAACTAGTGAATATTCCCTGATGTTCGAAATTCTGGGGATATGGTTTCAAGGTGTCTGTGTACAGAACCCAGGAATCCGCCTGCAAAGGGGGAAAAGCAGAGAATAGAAGCTACCTTTCCTGAAGATTTGCCACGAGGGAATACTGTTAGAGAAATCGTGCTTGTGCCTCCTTGGCCGGGCGGCAGGGAAAGGCACAGGAAGGGAAAGGACAAGCGGGAGGCTCCCCAGGGTCTTCAGCGGGTGCAGGGAAGAGTGGTTCTGAAGACCGGGCTGCAGAGTCTGCCGGAGGACACGCGTAATGTTCAGGTCTGGGCTTGGCTGTACCCTTCCGCTAAAGCAGCAGCGACCTGGAGATTTCTGGAGCAAGTGTGACATGAAATCATCTCTTCCAAATGTGCGCGGATCAAGGCCGTCCTTTCCCGGAGAACTGCTGAGGCTAAAGTCAAGAGTGCGCAACAGAATAGCACGTAACGACAGCGTTTCCCCCTTCTCTACATCTTTTGGAAATGACCCTCGGAGGTGCTGCTTCTTCACAAAAGCTGCTTTAAGTAATTTGTGGGCGACCATAGGATAAAATAAAATTCAGTCATTAGAAAGAATTCAGTAGCTATGAATGCATCTCCCACACATGGAAAGATACCCAATCCCTACTGTCAAACATAAGCAAAAACTGGTGTTATCGCATTTCCGTTACCACAGGTATAGGCACATCCTCCCTTTCATGTATTATGTACATGTGAATGAGTGAAACAGAAACGAATGTCCCTAAAATATCTGAGGTTATAGACGAAGACTCTACAGGTGATTCTTTTCTGGATATGAACTTCTGATAGAGGTCAGACTTTTTTCTTTTACCTTTCTGTATTATTTGTTTTATAATGATTTTTGTTTTCTCTGCACATTTGTTTGTATGCAGGGCAAAGGAAGAGTTACTAGGCAGAGTTAGAAAATAAGACAGAATAGGAAAAAGAGTCCAGTTTGAGTGACTGGAGGGGCACACTCTGATGTAAGAGACAAAGATTGACCAGGGTGTTTATTTCTAAAATGAAGACCTTTGCCATCAGGCCAGAAGACCACTCTACAGTTTGTCTTTCCTTCAACCTCCTGAGTCCTCCTTTGGTTGTGCCAGGTTCAGATCTTGGACCTTAGTTATGAGTTCAAGAACAACTTTTGTTTTAGTCAATGCTTGGCCGGTTCCTTTCTGTCAACCAGTATTTAACTTGTTTCCAGCCTCAATCCCACCTGGCTCCATGAGGCGGTGACATTTACCTGCTTTCACTTGGTGATTGACCTTTGTGATAATTCCTTAATTACAGACCTTCTCTCCAAAGGCAATTTTGCTTTCACCTTAGCATTAACAGGAGCCATGACCTTACTTCCCACATTCACGTGCCCAGCCTTGAGCCCAACAGCCAAGGTTTTATAATTAACTCCTAATAGGCCTAAGTTAATACCCAAAGTACTCAGTCCTTTTCGTTAATCTACTAGTTCAAGCTTGCAAAATAGGTGCTGTTACCTCTCCAATGTTACATTTAAACAAACTGAGGTATAAATTGTACTTGTCTAATAGTTTCTATAGATGAAATTTGACTCGGGTCCATATACCTCAGGCAGAACCCATGCTTTACCCACTGCATTATACAATGCACTGTTCCTTGTTGCTCTGTTTTAGAATTCTGACTCATTTTAATTGGCATTTTATTCTCCACTTGCTTACAAATTTCTCAAACAGATTAACAATATTTGGTCATTAATTCTTCAAACACAAAACATACAAGTAATAATACTTAATACCATATAAAGTCCAGTGTTGAACCCTATACTTTTGAGTTCTAACTAAATTATTTCAATTTTTTGAGCTTAAAAAATACTAAATATGCAAATCATCCTGCTAATATTGTTATGAACAGGTAATCCAAAATCAAACATCATCTCATAGCACTTTTTTTTTCTTTTAAAGAAATTTTTGACTTGTGCTATTATAAAATGTTTCTAAGTGGAGCAAGGTAGGAATTTCTGTAAGTATGTGAAGCAATAAATATTTTTTGTTGTTGTTGCTGTTTGGTTTTTGTTTTTTGAGACAGTCTTACTATGTAGTTCAGAGTCCAGACTGCCCTTGGACTTGCCATGTAAGGCTGGCCTCGAACTCATGGAAATCCTCCTGCCTCAGCCTCCCAAGTGCTGGGATGACAGGTGTGCGCCACCATGCCCAACTAAGTGATAAAAATTGTAATGTGTTGAATGTAGTAATTTCACAGCATGTATGTATCCCAAAACATTAAATATATATTGTCAATTATACTCAATTAAAAAATAAAAACAAAATTTAAAATATCTCACAGTAACATAGCATGGTGAGAAATCTGGTGGTAGAGAAATCAGTCAAGGAGTGCTAGAGACAAACAAAAGGTAAAATACACCTTTTGGAATGAGACGTTGGACCACCAGCTCCCATAGAATTCCAACTAAATATATATAAAGTCTGCCTGTCTGTACTTACTATTCACTGCTTTTTCTTCTTAAAGACTCACCCATTCATACTGAATTCTCTAATCAGAAATCCTACAGTGATCACAGCT